GGGCTTTACGGCATAACCAGGTTTCATTCGCCCGGGCCCCTGGACAGTTGCCCTCACCCCCATCGGCGGGCCTGACAATTATAATCTTTCAGGAGGGAAAAACATGCTTTTTAATATTTAGTTTAATGATTGACTAGTGGAGGCCCTGAAATAACATGTAGTACATCTCTCCAAGAGTATCAGTTTAAATATGACTTGAAATATTTAAATTATAATTTTATATAACATAGTGTTTCATTGTTTCAAATATGCTTATAGAATGGTGACAGGCAAGTTACAAGGACTGAACTTCGTAGAGCAATTGAATGTGGATGGTCTTTCCGACTAACAGAAGAAGAGTTTCATGAATTGATGATTCTTCTTGATCCAGGACATACTAACCTAATTCCATGTCAAAATTTTCTCAATATTTTTGAAAAAAATGGTAACTACAACAAACAGGTAATAAACATGTATGATTATTTATAACATTTTCAATTGTTACACAGATAATGATTTTCACTGTTAGATTATTTTACCCAGCACTTTCAAGTTAGTGTCTTATTAACTAAAATGTGAAAAGTTAGGAAATGCTGTCATTATTACAGTGGTGTCAAAGTGTTAGTTTGACATTCAAGATAAACCTAAGTCTGAAAAGGTAATAGAGTCATGAACATGATGATCTTATCTTTCACACGTATTTTGTTGATAAAAATGATGAATATGTACCCATAGCTCAAATTTCATTTGTACAACACTAAAATAATACATACTGCAGTACTTATAAGGAAAAAGGTTGTTGATTAAATTTTTATTAATGGATGGTACAATAATCTATCATTAAATAATTAATTTTACTTCATTAAAATCAATAATTTTGTTACAAATTATAACCATTAACTATTAATTGTTTTTGTTTCTTAACATCTTATCAATTACAGTGCTATAATATTGTCTATTATTTAGAATATACCACTGTAACCTTTTTTAAGATTGTGTACAGGGTGAACTTACAAATTCATTTGATTTTCAAATAGCAAGAGACTTGTTTCAAAATGTAATTTTCGCTCATAAACAGGAAATAATATATATTTCTAATAGTTTTGACTAATAATTTGATCAATATTCAAAACTACAGTAAAATTACTGGTAATTTGTAATGAAAACCATAGACTATAATCTTTATGTTTAAGAAATTGTTACTTAGGTGTCTACTAGTTGGACTATCAGCAAATGCCTTTTTTTAACATTTCTGAAAAAAAAAACAATAATTTTTTTTAACCAACATGGCTTTGTTGATTTTAAAGTAAGCATTTTCACTTTATTTTCCTGTATAGGGAAAAAACACTTCTAAAATCCTCAGTGAGAAACAATTTGAAGAGCAAAAGAAATATTTAGCACACAAGTATCAAAACATGAGCTCAAAAAAGTTGAAATCCAAGCTTAAAATTCATTTAAACCAAAGTTTGGCAAACATTGAAAAGGTACGTAACCTAACCAAATAACTCTTTAATGAAATACATTATCAATTTGATATATATATATCAGAGCCTCAGTTTATGATTTTATAAGTTTTTAGATCAGTTAGATTTAATTTCTTTATGTTTTAGTGTTTCTGAGCTGTCTAATGTCAGTTCTGTAGGTTATTGGTTCTGATAATTAAAATTACATTAAAAAATAAATACATTGTTATGTTGTGAATGACTTTTGCTGGTGAAGAGAGATAATAAGCAATTATATTTATCATAAGACAATACTACTAGACTTATTGTAATTTTAAACACCATATACATTCTCTATTTGTCCCTTATGGTGTTTCTGAGAAAATATTATATACTTCTCAGGAAAACCCTAAGAGACCAAATAAATAATTTAGTGTTTAGAAATACAATAAGTCTCATACTATTGTCTTACGACAAATATAGTTGATTATAATCACAATTTGCCAGCAGAAGGCATTTACTCCATAACAATTCTTATTCTAACAAATTAACTACTACGATGTTTGTTGATTTCCAGTCGGGTTAAACTTATGAACTCTGGTATTGAGCAAAACATATTGTTGGGAATGGATTTGGTAGACATAGTGTGGTGTGATTGCATAATACACCCTTTTTCCAAGGAAAAATCCTAAAAGACCAAATGAAAAGCATAGTGTTTTAAAATACAATAAGGCTAATACTGTTAATTGTCTTATGACAAATATAACTGAAAAAGTATATATGTATGTTGAAAACAAGTAAAATAAAAGATTGTAAGTTAATTGACCTATATATATATCACTTATGTGAGCAGTATGGCCTAATACATGGTTAATGCTTTATTAGGATTTTTATACAAAAGATTTTGAGTTTGAGGTTTGCCCAAGACATGTTGTATCATTGAGCAACACTTTACCCCAACTGCTTCAGTCTATCTATCTATATGATAAGTACAAGTGGATAGCTAAAGCTGAGGGTTAACCTGTAATGGACTAACATCCCATTGTGGGGTAATGTGTCACCATTCTAATCCTCTTGTGCCACAGGAAACTAGAGCTAAACATTGGCCTTATATGTCTTTTGAGGTGTGATAAGAATTACCTTATTTTAGTTATTTTTAATATATGACCTTTAGTTTTATGCTGTTAGTATTTCAATATTTGCTTTAAGAAACCTATATTTAATGTAAAGTTTTTAAAGTTTCCTGACAGCTAAATAAAATCTACTAAAGGTTGTCTTTTTAGTCATAAATTTGTAAATTATGTATTTTGAAAAATGTCACTCTGTTCGGATTAATTAAATATCTACAAAACATTTATATGAAACTAAAATAAAGTCAGGCAACATACTACTATTTTGTTAAATGTTAAGCATTTATACATATTTCAATTAGAATTTCATCAATATTGTAATTAGATTAGTATATTAAACTAGCAGGAAACTGCTAAATTAAATGAAAATAATGATGAATTCAATACAATACACCTTAAAAGATATTATATATATATATATATATATGTGTGTGTGTATTAAAGTCTCGGGTGCAAGCCTACTGAAGTGACTAAACAATT